TGTCGATATAGTGAGTTATACCGACATTTTATATTAAATTTTTGAAAAAAATTGTCGGTATAGAAAGATTTTACTATGGTGTCGTTATATCCAGATGTCGGTATAACCAGAGTGACGTGTACTATATTACTCAGTAAAGCGTACCGGTAACTATTGAGTCCTACTCTCCCAATATATACGTTTATACTGTTTATGATAATCTAAATTAAGTAGTTAATAGATTCCAACTAGAGATGACCATCATGCACCTTATCACTGCATGGTGTTTAATTGTTACATTATCAATATTATTAAAATCACATTAGATTGCGATATTTATATAAGTTATAACAGGTAACGATTAAGCACCATGCAGTGATAAGGTGCATTATGCCCATCTATAATTCCAACTTTATCTTGTAAAATGAATACAGATCCAGATTATTAATCCAAAAAAAAACAGAGTTTACTGTAATAAATCATAAAAAAACAGGAGTTTACATTTACTAATCCCGATATTTCTTAAAGATATTACTTGATAGAAAGGTCCATTGTAGCAATAATTTGTTAGTTATTTATTTGGAATTTTGCTAAACGTTAACCCATGATAAATAATCTAAATTAAGTATTAATATTACTTTTTTTAACATATTGACACCGGTAACATAACGATAAAATGGTAATTCAGAGTACAATATGAAGGATTTCTAAATATACTTAGCTATTATTAAAAACACCCAATGCGAAATTAGATCCCTATTTCATTATAATACTAATAGTTAATATTTCAAATTATTTTTAGTAAAGATAGGTTAGGGGAATCCTAAAGTATCAGTATCTCAAGTTTTATTTAAACAATAAATTGTATTGAAGGTTCAATATAAACTCAAATCCTCACGTTATTTTACAAAATAAATCAATTATAATTATTTTTTATAAAGGTAATTTTGTCTTCATGTTTTCCTCTCTGAACTCTCATATTGCCATTTCACTAAGAGTATATTAACGACTTTATTTACTTGTACAATAATTATTAATGTAATGTAAATATATTATTCCATTTTATGTTAAGGTTCTAGGATCTGATTATATTTTACCTCTCGAATTCTCGCATAATACATAACAATAATTATTATTCACACCCTTTCTCAAAAATATTATGTTCATCCAACATTTAAAAATCAGAATTAAGGTGATAGCACTAATTATATTCATTTTTGCTATTATTGTGAAAGACATGGTACATGCCGGCGAAGCTTGTGTATTTTTTAATCCAAAGCTTTTGTTTGGACTTATTGGCCACGTTGGTTGGGGCTGGGAGACTGCCAATTCTACTACCTATGTCTATGGATCTGATGATGGCCCAACTGATAATAATTCCTGTGGTGGTAGTAAAAACTGGTTACAAGCTATTGGAACTCGTGACGATATGATAAGCTGGTTTAAAGGCCGTAACTACTCTAGTTATAATTGCGAAACAGTACAAAATCCTGTTGCTGACGCAGCAAATTCTATGATTACAACGGTTAAAAATATACCATATTATTGGGCTGGTCTTCTTTGCCTTCAGAAGAATAGTAGTAATTGTCTTGATGACACTGTTGCAATTTTGGGTGCTTATAATGCCCCAGGACTGCAACCGGCAACGATACTAAATGGTGGAGATCCAAACCCAAAAACATGGTTTGATAGCTTAGGTAACACCGGCGATTCAAGTTACGGAGGTAGCTGGTCACAAAGTTCAATAACTCTTTAATTTTACAGGTGTAAAAAAAAAAAAATTTTTACATAAATAGAAGGGATTATTCAAAAATTTGTTTAAAATAATTTTTTTTATCCATACCATTAATAATATACTTATACATGGGTGTTTAAATTACCGATAATTTACGACAGACGGCATGGCGCAATTTTTTTGGTATAGTGTTTCAAAATGATATGTGGTGAAATTTTTTTTGATTATCTATAATAATATAGGCTGTCTATACGGTCTATAATAATATCGGCTGTCTGTCTAATACGTATCAGCCAGGGTTGTTATTAGACTAGTCCAATATATAGTTTTAGCGTTGGACTTGGGCTGGACCAAGTCCAATTGGGTCCAGTCCAATATAAAATAATTTTATTATACGTACGTATTATATCTTCACTATAATTAAATTAAACATTAGAATAGTAAATATTTATGTACTGAAAATATTTGACCAAATTTAATATTTTTCATTGTACCGAGTTTAGAATTCTCTAACTATACAATACAATACATATATACCAAAAATTTATTATACTTCAAATTTTTTTATTTAATCTACACTATATTTCAGAACAATATTATCCTAATATTATTTGAATACTAAATGAACAATTACTAGCCAGCATGGTAAATAATAGAAAATGAACAAAATACATAGGCTTATTACTCATTTTAGATTGATAAAAATAAAACGGTACTTCTAAGACAATTCTGCTAACTTTCATTTAGCAGTCAGATCTCGTACAGGATAAATAGTACTTTCAACAAATCTATTACAATCAAGAACAATGTCTATATCAAAATACTGTTAATAGTTAACTCAGATAAATTTTTATATTCTAATGATTCGACTAATTCTAGTATCAAGTACCTAAATACGTACTTACATATATCACATGATTATTTTTGGCCTAATAATAGTTCAAGTTTAATGGACTGAACTGAACTGGTCTAGTCCAATATTCCAGTTCAGTTCAATAACAACCCTGATATCAGCTGTTGATAAAAATATAGACAGTAGATTTTGTGATTTTACATAATATCTTGATTTGCAGAGATCACATTTTTTGCAAACTGTCTTACTCAATTTAATTTTTTAACCAATTTTAATTTGTTTTTAATTTGACTAATTTAATTATTTTTAATTAATTTTAAACTTATTATATTGAAAAAATATTAGATTTCAATAACTTTTTAAAAGAAAAGCACAAAAAAAAAAACAATAAAGATTTGGAATCAGAATTTGAAGATGATGAATTTGATTATAAAAATGTAGAAATTTTTAGATATTATTTATTATTATATCTTATATATATATTTTTTATTTATAGAATTTATGTTATATTATCTAGTTATATTTAAAATATAAAATTTTCAATTATTATTATATTAAAAACTTGGGTTTAAAAAAATTTACTAAATTATTTATTATATGTATATAAATAATTAATAGAACTTAATTAGGTATCACATCTCTGCAATGTAGCAATTTATCAAATCAGATTTAACAATTAGGTGTAATATTACATTTGTTTTGAAGATCAGATATAATATAAAAATTTTGCTTTTTTAAGAAATTGCAAATATCTCAAAATTTTGATTATAAAACTACTTTTGGTGTTTTAATTAAAAAATTTCTTGTTAAATTTTACTATAAAATAGTTTAATCTTAATTTGAGCTCTTACTCTAAACCTAAACTAAATAGAATTAAGTTTTTTTAAAAAAAAATTATATTATATAGATCTGCAAACTATGTTTTATATATACATATGATGTATAGCTATATTGCAGAGTATAATATATATATTTATTCTAATTATTAAGATTATTTTCAATATAAAAATTTATTTTTTTATTTTTAATATTCTAAAATATTTATGATATTCTAAAATAATTTAGATATTTTAAATTATTTACAGTTTAGACTGTTTAAAATTATTTCACTATTTAAATTTTTAAATTTTTGCTAAAAACAAAATAATTTAGATATTATTATAAGTTAAAAATAACTTTTTGAAATTAGTATAGTAAAAATTCTATAATTATAGGTTTTGAAAATTAGAAAGCAGTATATGAGGCTTAGATAATTTTGTTATACTAAAATGAAGCTTAACTATTATTTAATATTAGTAGTCTAATTATATAAACATAAAGTAAAAAACTTTTTTATTATATATAACTATGTATAAAGAAAATATATAGAGTATCATCAACTAAAAAAGCTTATTTTTACATATATCTCATTTTGAGATAATTGAGTTTAATTATTTGTTTTGATTTTTGAACTGATCTGAATTAACCAAATTTTATGATTTTGATTAGTTAAAAGTAACAGGTAACTATTAGAAATATTGTGATATATTGAGCTTTATATAATTTTCTTCTATATTATCTTTATTTTTTATTATACAAATTAACTTTTATTTATAATTAAAAAATATTAATTATATTAAAATATATATAATCTAATAAAAACTTATTTTTTAAAAAATATAAAAATAGGCTTTTTTAGTTGATGACACTCTATATAGTAAAATAATTTCTAAAATATTAAACTTTTTATATAATTATATAATTAACAAAAGTCTCTTATAAAATTAGTTATTAGTAAAGCTCTTTCAATTTGTATAAACTAAAATTTAATTATAAAAAGAGTAATAATTTGTTTAAAAGAAAAGAACTAGTAATCATTAGAAAAAACATAATAATAATAATATAAAAATTGTTTAATAAATAATAAAATATAGATCTAGTATTTTAGTATAGTAGTTAAGTTGTTAAACTGCTATATAATAAGTCTAGAGTTTAAATTCTACTATTGATAAATTTGAATAATAGTTTTCTAATTTAACTAGTTCATCACAATTCTAAATAGTTTCACAAAAATTACAAGTTGCATTATATTTTTCTTTTCTAACTTTTTTACTTTTTGTAAAATAGTTTCAAACTAGACTTTCTGAATAACTATTTAAATTTTTAGATATATTTTTATTCTCTATTAAGTTATACTAGTATTTTTATTATTTGAACTTATTTTATAACATATATAAGTTATTTATTAAAAATATAAAATATATTAATTATTAATAACAATTACTATTTTTACATAAGAGTTTGTATATTAGATAATACAAAAATATTAGAAAAGCTAATTAAAATTTAAGATCAAGTGTAATATATAAATCTTTTGTGTAACAAATTATTTTTAAAAAAAATACTAATATCTCAAAATTTCTTTTAAAGAACTACCCTTAGAGCTCTAATAAAAAAAATTTCTTGCCAAATTTTGCATATACTAATATCTAGATAAAATCTCAAGCTTTGCTCTAACTCTAAAGTAAATAAATTTTCTTTTTTTTTTTATAAAAAATTGTTTTTTTATAAAAAAAATTAAACCTGTATTTCAAATACCTCATATATAATTATAAATTTTTATTATTAATTATAAAAAAATAATTTTATTAATTTTAAAATATAACTAATTAGAATAAAAAAAACTAAAAAAATAAGTTTTATTTTTAGTCTATTTTATTAAAATTAATTATATTTTAGAATCAAGTTATTTTACAAAAAATAAAAGAAGAAGAAACTCTTTTTGTAGATTATCTAGTCACAAAATTAAGCTAAAGAATATTACATAGAAAACTATTAAACTTACTAATTAATACCTTTTAGTATACTAAGAAAAAAGATATAAAAAGTAAAATTATATATAGAGAAGTAGAAGAGTAGAAGAACTCTAACTTAAAAAGTGATCTAGAAGAAGTTTAGACAAAATTACTATGAAGAAAACTTTTTTGTAAACAAAACTAGGAATCTTAAAATATTCTAAAACACAAATTAGTTATATAACACAAATACATACCCAGCAGATAAATAAACAAATACATTACTAAATACATGTTATATGTTAGAAAGCAAAGATGAATCACGCAAGATAAAAACTGAACAGTTTATAAACAAACTAGATAAACTTATAAGAAATTTCAAAAAAAGATTAAGTTATTTTCTAAAACAATATTTGGAGAATTTAATTAAGTAGAGTAAATAATAAACAAAGTATAGAGTATAGATAGAGCTAGCAACTAAAAACTAAAATAAATAAATATATAGAACAGAAAGAAAGCAATCAGACTTGTAGAAGTAGTAATTAAAAAATATAGCAAAGAAATAATAGCAGATGGTAGCAGATCAGTAATAGGTCTAGAAGATCATTTAGATAAAATGATAGCAAAAATACTAGAAGTAGATAGTAATATAGTAATAGTAGCTAGAAAATAGAAGAAAATTATAGAAAGAATAGTAATGACAGAAGAAATCAACAAAGTAAAGAGTATACTAGAGCAAAAAGTCAAATATACAGTAGTAGCAAATAATGAATTAAAAGTATAAAAAAACAAATCAGATATAGAAATAATATACTAATTAAATACAAGTAGTACAAGTAGTAATATAACAAACTCAAAAATAGAAGTAGAAGGTATCTAACTACCAGAAAACAGAAAAATTAAAGAACAACTAAGCCAAATAGAAGAAGTTCAAAAGACTGAAGAAGAAAACAGTACAACAAATATAGAATAATAGCATATTACTACAGAAGAGTCAGAAGATAATTTACTTTCTGCAAAATCAAATTTATTATTAGAAAGAAGTATTTGGATACTAAACAAAGATAGATATAAAAAAAAAGAACAATAAGAGCTAAAATAGTAGCTATTAAAGTTTTAGAAAACAATGAAAAACATAGTAAAAAATCATTTAGATAGTTGATAAAAAGAAATATTTATTTAAAAGAAATCTCAGAAAAGTTTGAACATAGCAATTTCTGGTATATAGTAACCTTTGATTATATTAAAGACTATAAAAAGGCAAAGAAAAAACTAGAAAACAAAAAAGAAGAATATAAACAAGCCAAACTACTTCTAGAGGAAAATAAAGAACAAGAAGAATCTAATAAAATAGTAGGAAATCAAGACATAAGAAATTTAGCTCAAGAAGGCTA